AATACTACTTTAAAATATTTACTAAAGCTTTATATTTTTTAGAAGCAGGCTTTAGCTTTAAGTAAGAATTTATTAATATATTATAAACTTTAAAGTTATTTATACTAAACTAGTAAAAAGTCTTATTTATATAACTAAGCTAGAAAAGCTAAAGTATTTAGTTAACCTAATTTTAATAAACTTTTATATTAAAATAATAATAATAAGGGCTAAAATTAGATATTTTAAAGTGCTTACTTAAAATATTTTTAATTTTTTAAATTTAGACTTTATCCCTACCAACTAGCAAGAAATTATTTATATATATAATAATAAAAATCTTGCTATTAGTAAAAACTCCTAAGTTAAAATAAATAAAATAAAAGCCTAGTATAATTAAAAAGTTTATAAATAATTAGTACTAAATGCGCGGTATTTATTTTAGGTTATAAAAAGCCTTTTAAAGCTAGTAAACATGCTTAAAGCTATTAGTAAAAAAATAAGGCTATTTTATAAAAATTATAATATTAATATCCCTGTATAAAAAAGCTATTTTTATATTTATTTACTTAATTTTAAGGTCTAGTATAATAATAATAATAAAAAAACCTTATAGCTTATTAGCTTTACTACCTTAGTAAAGGTTTTATAATAATTAAGCTTATAAATTTACTTAAAGCTATAAACTACTTAATAAGCTTTATAATAAAAAATTTAGCCTTTTAATTTTTTTTTAATTCTTAGGACCTATTTATTAAAAAGCAAGTATTTTTTAAAAGGCAAGTTAATAAGATTTTAAATTTTATTTTTTATTAAAAAATTATATTTTTTTACATGCCTTTAAACCACTTATTTTATTTATTTTTAGCCTTAGCTTGCTAAACCATTAGTTTATCCCTTTTAAAAATTTACTTATAAAGTATTATAACTAATACTAAAATATTATTTAAGCTAGGCTTATTAACTAGTATTTAAAAATTATTTAAATAAAGTTTATTAACTAGGGTAATTTTATTTTATATAGCTTTAATAATATTTTAAAAATAAAATAAATAGGCTAGCTTATCTAAAATTTAAAAAGCCCTTTTAAAATTAGTAATAGCCTAGGTATATATATAATATATTAAGCTAGTATTATAAAAGCTAAAATCTAGGTTTTTTAAAAATATATTAGCTTTAGTAATTAAATTAATAGCTTTTATTATTAAATTTTTAAGATTTATATACTTAAAAAAGTCCCTGGGAGCTAAGCTCTTTAAGAATTTATTTTTAAGATTTTTTTTAATATTTAAATTAACATTAGCTAGTAAGTTTTTAAAAATAAAGATTTTTAAAGATACTAAAGCTTTAGGTGCCTTAAAAATAAAAATCCCTAAAAATTTTAAAGCTTTAGGTAGTACCTTAGGGATAAAAATCCCTGGAGGGCTTAAAAGTAAGGCCTTGGGGATAGAAATCCCTAAAGAAGGTAAAGCCTTAAAAATAAAGATTCCTAAAGGCGCTAAAGCCTTGGGGATAAAGGTCCCTAAAGGCGCTAAAGCCTTAGGAATAAAGGTCCCTAAAGGCGCTAAAGTAGTTACTTTTAAAGGATTTAGCCTAATATAGTAATTTTTAATAATATTAATATTATATACTAAAACCACGTGGCTATTATCCAGGAGAACCTAGTATAACTTATTTATTTTTTTATTAAAATTAACTAGCCTTTTAATTTTTATTTTACTATTTTTATAAAGCTTTTTTTACTTTTTTAGTAGGTTTAGAGTATAAACCTTAAACTAAAAATATAAATATAAAAAATATTTTGTTAGTGGCTGTACTAGGCTTTAAATAGTATAATATTATTTAGTATAAAATATAGAGTTTAATTATATAAATAACTAGTATTTTTATAAAACTTAAATTATATATTAACTAGGGCTTTAGTATTATATAGTATAAATTATATAAAGTTAAGTAGCTTATTAATAAGTACTTTAATATAGCTATTTTATTTATATTAATTTATATTAAAGGTTTTTATAATAGCTTTAAAGCTATAAATAAGGTATTATAAATTATAAATATTTTTTTTTAATTATAGTGTACGCGGCGTAATAAAAGTTTAGGTATATTATACTAATAAATAATAAAAAAAGCCTAGGTAATAAATTTATTTTTACTAGCTAGTATTATAACCTAGTAATAATAAAATTTATTATTTATAATAAAGTTAATATATACCTTTTTATTAAATAAAAGTAAATATAAGCTAAAAATATTTATATAAAGTAATTTAAATAATTAATTAATAAATATTATAATACTTTTATAAGGCTTAGCCCGCTAGCGTGTAGTAATATAAAATTTATAAATATAATTTTTAAGTATATACATGCTATAAATCACCTTTTTTATTTTATTAAGCTAATTTTTAAAGGTATGGCCTATTTATTAATACTAAAGCTAAAAAAATTTATTTTAAAAAATAAAAGTTACTAGTATTAAAATAACTAGTATTACTAAACCCTAATAAAAGTTAAAAAAAATACTTTATAAACTTTAGTAGTTATATACTAAGCTAATTTATAATTATATAAAGTAATAATATTAGTACCCTATAGCTTTTTAGCTTTTATATTCTATTAATTAAAGCTAACTAAGTAATACTTATTTAATAGTTAAAAAATAAATATTAGTATAAAAAATATATTAAGGTAGTATAAAATATTATTTAAAGCTAAAATTTTAAGCTAGCTATTAATATAGCAAGGGATTTTAATAATATTAATACCTTAGGTATTAAAAACTCCAGGGCTAATATTTTTAATATTAAGGCTAATATAAGGCTTAAAGTTTTAAAATAAAAAGTAATTATAAATAATATATTATATATAGCTATTATTTATAGTAATTTATTAAATAAAACTATTTTAAATAATTTCTTATTTAAAATTAAAGTTAATTTAAGTTATAAGCACTAGCTTAAGCATAGGCTTTATATTTTTCTTAAATTTAAAGTTTTTTTAGGGTGCTTAGCACCCTTACCACCCTAGGAGTTTTTTTAAGTAGTTTTAAGCTTAAAATAAAATTAATAATAAGTTTTTTAGCTATAAAATAACATGTTATAGTAAAAATAATAATATATAGTAATATTTATAATACCCTTATTTTTATATATTTAAATAATATTAAGGTAATTTTTATAATATTTAGTATTAGGTTTTATAAATACCTTACTAAAAAAAAGTGCTAGGGTGCTGGTGCCCTAGTTTTAGTTTAATTTAGTAAACTTAGTAATAATTATAAAGTTATTTAAAAAGGTAATTAATATAGTAGTATTCCTTAAAAAGCATTTAATAATTTAGTTATTAAAGTATATAACCTTAAAATAATTAAATTAGTTACCTAGGGCTTAGTAAAAAATAATAATAATAAGCTTAGTTAAAAAAGTAATATTAATATAGGTAAATTTTTATTAAATCTTTTTAAGTTTCTTACTAAGGTTAAAAATACTTTTATTATAAAATAGGAATATTAGGTTAGCCTAGGTCTTAAAAATTATAATATTAGTATTAGGTTTAAGGTAGCTTTTAATCTTATTAAGTAGCTTATACACTATTTACTTATTAATAAAAAAATTTTATAAATTAAAACTTAAATAATTCAAAATTAAAATTATAACCTAATTTTAGTTTTATTACTAGATCTTTACCTTATTATGATTTACCAGGGGTATAGGCTTAATAATAATAGTTTTAATAATAAGCTAAGTAGAAGGTATAGTAGTAATTAAAAACCTGCTATTAATACTTATATTTTTAGCTTGGCTTATAATAAATTATTAGCTAGGGATTTTAATATTTTTACTTACTAAAGTTAATATAATAAAAAAGAAATTAATAAGGGTTTTTACAAGGCGTTTTTAATTTAGTTATTTTAAAAGATAGCTATAGCTAGCCTTTTAAAGCTTTAAAAATACTTGCTAGTTTTATTTAATTTACTAGTTTTTTAATATTAAAACTAAAATATTCTTTACTTTAATTAAGGTTATTTTTTTTATTTTAACTTAATATAGGAGAACTAGACATAAAAAAAACTAAATAATAAAAAAATTAAAGTAATTTAAAAGCCGGGAATTAAAGCGCTTGGAAATTAAAAACCTAAAATAATTAAAAATAGTAAGCCTTAAAAAGTTATTATAATAAGGTTAAAATTAAATAAGCTAAAGCCTATACTAGGATAATTATAAAAAAAAATTAATAACTAAAAATAACTAGTTAAATATTTAAAAATTAGTTTAAATTTTTAAAAAGTAGTTAAAATTAAAGTTTAAATTAAAAAATTTAAAAATATTATATTACTTTTAAAGATCCTAAAACTCTTTGGCTATTAAAAAAAACTTATTTTTATTAAAAAATTAAATATATATAGCCCTAAAAAGCGGGTATTTATAAAGTTAAAAGCTAATTAAAAAGGTAAAAATAAAAAAAAAATAAATAATTTAATATAAAATAAAACAAGGCTATAATATTTATACCCTTATAATAAGGCCTTTATTTTAAGTATAGGGCTTTTTAATTACTATAATAACTAGTAAAGTTAAAAAAAATATAAAATTAAATAGGTAAAATAAAAAAATACCATGTATTTAGTTAGTATAGGTTAACTTAAAAAAAAAGACTTTTAGTTAGGTATATAAGTTAAGTAAATCCAGGCTTATAACTTACTAAAAAAAATAAATAATTATTATATATAAAAGTTTTTTATATTACTTAATATTTTAAGCTAAATATTTTAGGGATAAATAAAAAGTTTTATGGTGGCCATTCGGGCCGGAAGAACCTTCCTCCACCGGAGGCCTAAGGTCGCCGGTGGCCTCAGGCACCCACTTCCAGCAGGGTGAATGTCCCCGAACAGTCAACTGGTGCGGAACGACGTTTATTCACCCAGCTTCGGGACTTCCCCCCAGCGACTTAAAGCGAACCATCGCCCACAACCAGACCACGACGCCGCACCAAACATTCCTGCTCTTTTTTTCGAAAATGAAGATCTCCTCTGGGACCATGCAGGCCGAGATTCCGATGGCCGTCAAGGGAGAAATCAAACCACCCAATGCCAGATTACCCCCAGTATCGCTGCGCGATAAAGGTGCAGCAGTGGGCCAACTGTTGTCTGTTGTCCCTACTGTGCTATTTTCCCTTTTCCGCCGGCGGGCATTCAGGCGTTCGGCCCTTCCATTACGAGAGGATATCAAACGGACTCTTATACGCAGGTATGGCCCTTCTCTCCGCGGGTGCTTGCGCAATAACTGACCGGATTTTCAGCTGCGCAGGGCTTCCGCTGTCAATCCTGATGCGCATGATCAAATCCGACAAGCCCGAAGCCATATTCCAAGCCACGCGTTTCCGCAACACCAAAGCACACTTTGGGATTCCGGTGTCGACTGCCCATTTCTCGGGCTATTGGCTTGTCAAGCAACCATCCGACAGCCGTATCTCAGGGCGCCGTCGCGTCGTGATGCTGTGGATTCATGGCGGCGCTTACTGCGTTGGAGATGAATTTGCGGGACTTGGTTCACTCCTGCGGCTCGCTGAATTGGCTACCGACCGGGGTATTGATCTTGACATCTTCTCCCTGGAGTACACGCTCGCTCCGGAGGCAAGATTTCCAGTGCAGCAACAACAGGCGGTCTCTGCATATCGCTTTCTGCTTGAGCAGCAGCAGGTCGATCCGGAATGTATCATTGTGGGCGGCGAGTCGGCGGGCGGCCATCTCGCCATTGCCTGTCTCCAGGGAATTGCGCGCGCCCATCTGCCTCGACCAAAAGGGTCGTTGCTTCTCTGCCCTTGGGTCAACATGACGAACACAGCTGCTTCGTTCGAACGAAACAAATGCAACGACATACTGGTTAAGGACTCTTTGGACAGGTGCGCGGCGCTTGCCCTTGGGCCTGATGCGTCTCAGGATTGCAGGAATCTTCTCAACTTCTGCGTCCCGTCGACCGGAGACTTGCAATGGGCGAACATACTGCCACCGCGAACGTGGATGAATGTGGGATCCCATGATCTTTTCATCGATGATATCATCTCCTTTCAGACGATTATGGCGGCGGAAGGCTTAGACATCGTGCTGTCGATTACCGAGGGAAAGACTCATGGATGGCAAGCGATGGCGGATAACACATCATCTAAGACCTACTTTAACTTGGCGCCTGGGGAGGCGCTTCCTCCCGGCTGCATGCCTGGCAGCGCAAACATGCTCTTGGGTTTATCATGGCTGCTAGGTTCTCAATAGCCTAGCTATTGTTAGCGGGCGAGGTCTCGGTGACGACGGGGAAGAGAGCGGGGCAGACCCAAACCAAATAGACATGCTTTTGATTAATGCAATAAATATCTTGGGCCATTTCACTCTGTTTAATATTATATTCCACTTATGCCTAAGAATCGCAGAGTTGACTCTCTGCAGCGGAAACCGGCATGTCCCATAAATGATTTTGTAACTGACGGTCGGGTCCCTTCCCGCTCATCTGAGAGAGTAAAAAAAAGCAAAGAGAGCGGATGACGTTGTTGGTAGCCCTCTCGGGCAATTAAAAAGGTTCTGCCACATAGGCTTAACAGCATGCTTAATTTAATTTAGCTTAACGCGCCCAAGGGCCGTTTTAATTAAAAAAGTAGTTTAAAAAATTAAGCATGTATTAAGCTTATTAAGCATATTTATTATTTAATTTAAATAAGCTTAACGCGGTGCTAGCATGGTTAAATAAGTATTATATTTATAAAGGCCTTGTAACATGTTTTAATATTTTAAAAAAATTATTTTATATCAAAATTTATATATAAAGTAATTTTTATATTATAAATAATACTTAAAGTTTATTTATTAAAATACTTTTTAACTTTTAATAATAACTAATATAATTTAATCAAGGTGCTTATAAATAATATTATATTATTTATTTTCAATAACTAGAAATATTAGGGGGGGTATTAATATTATTAATTAATATATTATATATAATATTTATATTTTTATATAAAATTATATAGTATTATAAATATTATACTTAATTTAATAATTTAATATATTTAGCACGCCATGTTAGGGTTATATAATATTACCTAATTTAAATTACCAGCACCATAAATTTAATAAGTTTTGCCAAGCGCTCCCGTGGCAGAACCTCTCTAATAGAGAAAGGAGCAAGTTGTTCATTGAAAGCTAGAGCTACCTAGGGGTTTATATAAACATCCTGAGCCTTTAGAAACTTATTAGTGACCTAATTCCTTCACCGGGATAGTAAGGCATTAAGCGCCTTACTTTTTTATACTAACGCGGCATGTGGAGGCGTTAACAAATAAGAACTCCACCAAACTCCACCTTTGGCTGACACAGGCCATGGGTCCTCTCTTAAAAGTGGAGCACGTTGTGCCTCTATTCCTCTAATATTAACCACCTTTGATTGTTTGAAGCTTCTGACACCATAATACACAATGAGTGTGATTCCAAAAGACAAGCAAATGGAAATGGCCCTAGAAGCCTATAATATGGGCTGTTTCAAATCAAAAACCGCGTGTGCAAAGGCATATAGCGTGCCTAAAAGCACCCTTATCAACTGTCTTAATGGAACAAAACCGCGAAGAGAATTGCTTTTAAATGGTCGAAAATTATCTGATCTTGACAAGGAAACTTTTTGTAAGTCGCGTTTATATACTGCGGTGAGCTTAGGAGAACATGAATTACTGTAATAAAAAAGGCGTTATATATTTATAGTAGGAACTAATTGCTAATTCTTTTAAGTTAAAGTTTAAAGTTAAACTTAATATTTTATATATTATATAACTAGCCGCCGCCTTAGCACGCGGCTAGTTTAATATTAAAGTTTTTTTACCTAGCGGCCTTAGGCTACTAAATTATATTATTATAATATTATATAATTATAATATTATAATAATAATAATAATAATACTTTTTTTTAAGCAATTACGCCCTTGTAATTTATAAATTTATATTTATATTTTATAAAATATAATTTAAATTATAAATTTTATTAAGTGCTATAAAATAAGCTATTTTTAGGTTTATAAAATATTATAATTTACATGTAATTTATATTTAAAGTTAGGTATAAAAATTTAATTTAATTACCTTACTTTATTTTTAAATTTAAATATAATATTACTGCCTGTGGTAGCTAGGCATAATATTTTAGTTTTAATACTAAAATACCCTTGTAATTTTTTTTTTAAGTTTTTTTTATAACTTAATTAAAAATGCCTGCTATAAGTATACATTTTTTTATTATATTTTTATTATTTTTTAATTATTTAATTATATTTTTAGGGTTAAAATACCCTATATTTACCCTTTCCCGTGCTTTTTAAGTATTATATTATTTATTTTAATAATATTAATTTTATATTAATATTATTAAGCTTATATATTTTATTTTACTTTATATTTAGTTTTTATAATAAAGTTTTAAGTTTTAAATAGCTAAATTTCCTTATTTTTATGCTTTTTTTAATACCTTTAGTAGCTATTTATAATATGTGGTTATTTTATTTTAATTATTAATATATTATTATATTAGCTTTTTATTTACCTTTTTTTTATATTTTACTACACACTTGCTTTTTTAATTTAATTAATAAGCTTTTTATATTTAGCTCTTGTTATTTTTATATTTTTAAAGCTATTTTTAGCAGTTAAATTAAGTATAATTTATCTTTATTATAGCCTTTATTATACTATATGTTTTTAACCTTATTTTTTTTCTTAAAATTTTTTATGCTTGCCTTTTGCTTTATATTTTTCTTACTTTAATATTTAATATAGTTTTATATTATACTTTAAATAATATTATTAATAATTATTTATTTTATTATAATATTTTATTTTATATTTTTTTATTATAATAATTAAGCCTTGGTTTTAGCCTTTATTTTTTATTTTACCTTTAATATATAAGATTATATTTTCCTACTCTTTACTTATATATTAATAATTATTAACATGCTAGTTATTAAAATAACTTAATTTTATTATTTATATACCTTTATTATTATTATTATTATTATTACCCCTGTTACTACCCCCGCTGCCCTTATTAATAAAGCTTTTATTAATATTTTTTACCACCCCTGGGCTTTATAGCTTTATTACTTAATTTTTATATTTTATAATATATTATATATATTGCTACCGCGGGGTGTTATAATAAAAATATATTTATTATAAATATTATAATAAAAGCCCTTATATATAATTATTTAAAGGGTAAAAAGAGCTAGTTTTACTATAATATAAAAAGGGTACTTTTAAAATATATAGCTATTAATATTACCTTAGTAGGTAACTAGTTATAAAATATTTTTAATATTACTAATATTATATATATAAAAATTAATAATCCACGTGCTTATAAAGAGCTTGCTGCTTTAAAAATAGCTTATTAAATATTTAAAGTAATTATTAAGTAAACCACCGTGGCTAATAATATATAAATAATTAATCTTATAAATATTATTATATTTATATTTAACTTTGCTTTGCAGGTTAGTACCCCTTTTAATAAAAATAATAATTTATTATATAAGTTAGTTTTCTTTTTATAGTATTATTATGTTTTAGTTTATTAATTTATTATAATAATTTTTTTTTAGTTTTTAGGCTGCTTTTTAGTATTATTTTAATAGCTATAGTTTTTTTATGCTAGTATAGCTTTAGCTGCTAAGTATATGTTTATATATTTTAATTTATATTATATTATGTTACTAATTTTTTTATAAATTTTTATTATTTTTAGTGCGGGGTGTGCTATGCTTTAGTACTTTTAAAAATTTTTATTAAAATTACTTTTATATTAGGTATTAGTATTAGCGCCCTTATAGGCTTAATTTTTATTTTATATATATTAAGTACTACGCGCCGCGCGGCTTAGCTACTTATTTAAGTTTTTTATTATTTTTTATTTATTTTATATTTTTTTATTTTTTTTTATTAAAAGGCCCTGCGGGCGCTGCTAATTAATAAAAATAATATATTTTTTTTTATAAGTGCGCGTAGGTTATAAATATAAATATTTATATTTAGTATTTTTTTGCTTTATATAATTTATTTTTATAGGTTTTTTGAAAATCTTTAAATACTATAGTTTTAGCTATATAAGCTTTTAATTTTTATATATTATTTTTTATATTATTTTATTCCTACTATTTTATAAGGTATTATACCTTGCCCTTAAATTTATAAATATTAAGAATTTTTTTAATAAAGTATTTTTTTTTATTATTTACTAGTATAGGGCTAATATTTAGCACTTAAAATAGGTTTTTATAATAAGGTTTTAAAAGTATAATATAAAAAATATTATATAATTATTATATATTTAGTAAAAGTAGTAGCTTATAAGATTATTTTCCCTATTTTATAATTACTAAAAACAAGCTAATAAGTGTCTTACTTAATTTATAATTTAGTTTTACTAACTTAATATTTTTTATATAAAGCATAATATAATTATTAACTTTAAAGCTTATTTTCTTATACTTTTTATTATATTAAATTACTATAGCTTTTTTTAACTTTTATAGTTACTTTTTTAAATTCACGTGGATCTTCTTAAACTTTATAACTTTTTAAAGTTTAATTTTTAATACCTAGTTAGGCCCCTTAATATTAATATATATAATTATTTTTAAATTTATAAGAGCTTTAGTAGGTGTGCAACCTATAAATTACTTATATATATTATTATTTATAAATTATATTATTTTAATTTATTATAATTAATTATTTTAATACTAGTTAATATAAGCACGGAGGTAATATTTAAGAACTTAGTTTTACCTTTTAATTTAGCTATTTATTTATAAATAATATATAATAAATAATTTTTATTTTACGCCTAGGTAGTAGCTTAGTATAGCCTAAAATATACTAGTAAAAAAACTTTTATAATTATTAACCATGTTTTTTAGTATGTTAATAAAGTAAAAAATATTATTTATAAAGGTATTTATAAGTTATTTTATGTTAATATTTTTTAAGTATAAAATATATTATATAAATTTAGTATATATTTTAATTACTACTAAAATAATATTATATACACGCTTATTATACTTTATAGGTAGTAAACTAGTAATAAAATTTATATTAATTTATTTTATAAGTACCCTTGGTAGGCTTAATAATTTTAATAATTTATATAATTTATATTTATAAACCGCGATTTATTAGTAATTATTATATTTTTTAATATATTTTTTAATATGCTTGGTTATATCTAGCTA